CTCATACGTCATCCGCCCGGAGCTGCTTCCGTGTTCAACAGTGAGTGCAAGCTAGATTAAAATTATTACGTTTTGAATATGGATATTTTTCTTACAAAAACGCATCGATTCGCTACAGGAGGCCTTTGTTCACCCCCCGGAGCCGTGTGAGACCTTTTTTACGGATGGGCGCTTTTTATTTAACTTCTTTCGAACTGATGCATGCAACACCCGCTGAGTGCCATGAAACAGCTTGAAAGATCAAAGACAATTTTTAATATAACTCCGTCTGAAAGAAGAAAGTCATATACACCTAGGATGACTTAAGGGTGAGTAATTTATGGGCTAATTTTCATTTTTGGGTGAACTAACCCTTTAAAGCACGAAGTAATCAATTCAGGGGCTATTTGTTCAATTCCACATATATTTATAATTTCTTATATATACATATATTTTAGGTCAATTGTTTTATTCATCCACATAATCTTTATGGAATCTTTAAGGAACTTAATATTGCTGGTTTCGGAGTCTTAAAATCGATTATTACCAACATGGTGGACATTGTTCTTTCTGTCCATTTAATCACTTCAGCAAGAGAGGTTGCAGCTTGACTGTACTTGCATATGACAAATCTATTTGTCCATCAGCACACTCCAGACTTGGGGAGAAGTGAAATTATGTACAGGACCTCCTATTTCCTGTGAAAAACCAAAGCGGCACCAAACGGACACATCTGCACGTCAACAAGATCTCATGACCAAGGCTCACCATTCCACAAAGAAGAACAGAAAGTAATCTATCTATTATGTATCTATTATGGTACAACATTTAATGCAGTATGTCTTTTCAAAGGCCACTACTCAAGGATTGTGTTTTAAATTCCTGGCTAGTTTACAGCTCGGCATGAGTTGCATTACTTGGGGCATGATGACACCTTTGAATATATAACATTGTCAATTAGAAAGCCAATCAGGGTTTCGGGAAGCCAATCAGGGGCATATATTTTGGGAGTGCCCAGTGATAAAACCTTTCTGGGCAGAGCTTCATAAAGCAGTGGAAAGCATTTTTAACACTACACTGCCTTTGGACTTTTCCACATTATATTTAGGAAATGCTGATTTCCAGACAAGATGGCCTGAAAGATACCTATTTGACATTTTAACATCTGCTTGTAAAAAAGCATTTACAAGGCGTTGGCTGCTTCCTGGACCCCCCACACTACAAGAATGGATGGATATAGTAAATGATATTTATGTTATGGAAAACATTACTTTTTCCCTTCATCGTCAGAAGAATGTGTTCAGAAAAGTCTGGTCCAAGTGGGTCGAATATGTAAGGCCATTACGGCCAGACTTTGTGGAGGTATAAAACAAATGACCCTTCCCTTCTGAATGAAAAATGTTATTGTAATCTCCCTTACATACCTTTTCCACATCGGAAACCAGCAGACTTTTTCCCACAGTCTCCATCACAGACCATGAACAAACACTTAACATTATTTAGTATGGAGTTTGATTATTAAGTATATACCTGACCTCCCCCTAATTGTAAGAATTATTATTGTTATTAACATTATTATTTAATTTTTATTTAATTTTGTTTGTTATTTTGTTTTGTATTATGTAAAAAAGAAAAGAAAATTTGAATGGCAGAGAAGAATGTAACTACATCTGTTTTGAAGTAATGTACTGTTGCTTATGCTGCTACATCAAAATAAAAATATTCAAGAAAGCCATTCAGGCATGATAAAAGTTCAGGTGCTATAAAACAAGACATACTGATACACTGAACAAACCAGCTAATAAATTCGGTAATCAACGTCACTTTACTACCAAATAACAGCTAACATTAAAATGTAGACCATTTTGTGTTTGTCTGTGCTTTAAAATGCAAAAATGGCTGTCACTTTGTCTATAGGGCACTATTTCAATCCCAGCATGCTCCTGATAGCATCACCCTATCTTTCTATACATCATCTGTGACTGACACAACACCGATTACTCCAGTTATCAGTGAGAACTCATAAACACCCTGCAGGTCTGACACATCTGATAATGAAACACCATAAAAAAACATGCAATGAAACGAAATGTGCATTTTCGCCCCGTGTGCACCATGTATTTAGGTTATGCAATGCAATTAATATGCACAGGTTGCACTGCAAAAGTTGTTTTGCATGCAACACGTGACAGCCATTTAGTTTTCCAATGCCAAGTCAGGAATTTAATATTACAAAACAGGATAAATGCTGCACTGTGTAGATACCTCACAACACCATTACTTCTAAAATGTGTTTTCTCTCTTTTCACAGGTACAAAACCGAGGAGTGTACTTACATTCATGTTGCTCATAAGGCGGGTAGTTCAACCTCACAGCGATCAGAATGAAGAAAATAAAGAGAGGCCACACAATCTCCGTCAGCAGTTGGAGCTGCACAAGTCAAACACACGAGGACAAAAACAGTCAGCATTTTCTGTAAAGTGCAGACACTGGAGACCATCTTTGGCCCCGGTGAAACATGACTAATAGAGCTCTCAAGAAAAAAGCTCTCAAGTCTCTAATGTCTAAGGTATGAGCTTCTGGTGTGGAATGTCATCAAGGGCAGGTTTTTATTAACAACATTTATTATTAATACATGACAGGGTATCGATCAGTTCCTCCAGATATAGTACAACAGCAGACAGGATCATCCACTGGGAACATGGCCTGTCTACATAGACCCAGTTGGGAATGAAAGTAGTCTGACCACTCATTCTCCATGTAGCACTTTTGTGGGGTTATGCTTATTTATTTTAAACCAAAGAAATGCAAATGCATCAGTATTGAACTGTTTCAAACCATTAAACAATACAAAATTAAATTAAAGCACTTTTTCATACAAGATTTTAAAAGTACCAGGTTCTACCATGTTATGTTGACATGTACTATGAAACAACCATGGAAGTACCTTTTAAATGCACACACTTCAGTACCATTGTATACATCAAAATACAATAGTATGGTACAACCAAAGTGCTTTTTGTAATGGTTTAAAGAGTAAAATACCCTATTTTGAGGAGATGGCCACATAAATACGATTTGCATGTAGATTGACCTGAAAATCATAATATAGCAGCATTCTGTATTGAAATGATTTTAAAATGATTCAATATATGGGTTGTTATGGAAAGTAAACAGCTTGAGATTCTAGAACTGCATTATAAGGAATAAATAAATTTAAATCTAAAATGACTAAAATGATATCTGAAATAATCTCCAGTGGCATAATGTTGATCTCAAATAGCAGTATGATTTTAAATGAGTTATAACAATTACAAATTTTACTTTACTTATTAGTAAACCATTATGAGTGACATGTTATGCATAAAATGATTTTTGATACTAAATCTGATGTCCTTACCGTTTGTCTCCTTCTGTAGGTGAAGTTCTTCCACAGCAGCAGACCCAGCTGAGTGGAGATAGACATCTTCACTCTGGTCCCTTTTCACTCTCAGCTCTCAACTGCAGTGACACAACGGAGACATGCGATGTAAAAAAAAGGCATCCAGCCACGACCAACAGAACAGCTCAAAAGTCCAGGACAAAGTGCAGCCCTCCTATCTGAATCTCTGCTGCTCGCTCATGTCTTCCCTTTTCATCTCTCCTCTTCTGCCCCAGTTTTAGGGAAGGCCAGCCTTTTCTTTTTCCCAGAATTCCTGAAAGTGGTGGACCTTGTAGTGTCAGAGAATCATCAAGCAAGGTTTTTCACAGGCCATTAGGGTCTCTGGGGTTAGGGTTAGGATTTGCTGGAAGTCAGGGAGTTAATCTGTGTCCTTGCTCTATGTTAACGACGCTTTTCAAATGTGAAAAAGGTCCAGACATTCTTGAGTGATCTTCATCTAACGCTTACATTGTTCTCACTGTCTGACCCTTTCAGTGATTTAATCAGGTAGCCCAAAACAGAAATGATCAGATTTGTGATGAGCTTGGATGGAAACAAAACTTAAGCCTGTAAAACCTGACATATGAAAGAATACTATAAAACACTTTTTTTTTAATGGAGTTTTTACAATTATTCTAAAAGGCCTTTTGCTAAACTGTCAATTAGATGTAGATTTTGTACAACAGGTATTTTTTTTAGCAAAAATTTGATCATGCTGATAAATTAGAGTCCTTAAAATGATCAACAACTATTAAATATGATACAATAGGTTTTATAGGGTTAATCACCACAGTCCAAGGGTAAAAAATAAATAAATAAATAAAATATCGTAAATATCTCAGGAATACACAGCAATATCAATTGGACAAAGTCGTAAAAATTTTTTTTTTTTAAATTCCAAAAGTAAAGTCGAAAAATAAAGCCGAAAATAAATAATTGTCAGTGTCTGAAACGATATTTACACCTGCACCCTTCATCACACTGCCCAATGTTCCTGTTGGCCCTTACAAAACCCCAGCACCAGTGACTTTTGGGAATGTTTAGGTTATTCTATATCAACATGCACAGATCAGGAGAGAACATGACTGTACCCGTATAGCTTTCTATGCGTTTTTATATATAAATCCTTCTTCTGGTCATTAACTTGATTCCAGGCGTTTCCCATTATGTTCAGCTGAAATGCATGAAAGCAGAGAATTCAGACTTCACTGCTTTTCTTTCTCAGCTACTTGCACATGTTATGTCTTCCACTATTACAGACGCAGGTGGTATAAGCTTTCATTTATAGGTAAATACATTCAGTGTACAAAATGTGTCCTTTTTTTTAAACATCCGTTTCCAACTATTTAGCTTGGCACAGTAATCTCTGTCATTTCTACTTGATTGTATAGAGTAGATTTTCAACTCAAATTTCCTGAAGTAGTCAAACGCGAAGGTAACTTTTACTGCAAGCTGTGGATTTGTCATCACTTTGATTTTCCTTTAACGCACTTTAACTTAGGGTTGCGTGTTTGTACAGTTTTTATTTATTTATTTATTTTTAACACATTGAGACCTGAACCTTCGCCTGGTTCATTGTTCTAATGTTGCTGTTCTCATACAGCACGTATGATCTTTCTGTCCGTCGATAAAGAATCACACGTTGTCATCTTTTGCTATTTGGTGTTATTATTGCTTTTTAAAAAAAAAAACAAAAAAAAAAACAGGTTTTATTTCTGAAGCTTTACAGCTGTTCTTAAGTTAAATAACAACTGCGTGTTGCACAATTTCATATGAAGTGCTACTTCAATGAAAAGAAACTTGGTGCCATTGGATTGAACTTTCATTTAATGATTTCCTTTGACAACTTTGACTCTCTCGTCATAAACACTGAAATATTGTTATGGCATTTGTATTGTTTTTAATAATACGCCACCTGAAACGTTGCGTTTGTCGTTCATTCTCTACAGAAACAAATTAACGATGTTAAAGAAAACGAAGCATAAATGTATCTTACCTGACAGCTGATGACCTTTGATGGACATTCGCTGTAATCCCAATGAATCAGATGTATATTCGTCCTTCTAGACTCTCGTGTGAAGGAGCATCTGAAGGTTCTGAAGAGCTTTTATAGCGCATCCGCTCTGAGCGCCGGGGTTACTGTCGGTCATCCAGTCTGCTGCACATTTTAACTGGGTCTGGATCAACACGTGGAGCCCAAAACAGCTCTTAAACGGCATAACTGCAAACATCTGCTGACAAACGAGTGCCATGAAAACAACACAGGGATGAAACATGCCTCTTCTACTGGTGTTTTTGGCAAAAAATGACATTTTGTTTGCTTTATAATGGCCATAAATGACAAAATCTTATGCAGTCTGGGGATCTTAAAAACAGGCAGTCTGGCATATTACAACACTTGGCACATTCCCTTTCCCTTTTCACTCCATTAGGAGCTATTTCTTTGGATAGAGTTGATGGGATGAAATAAGCAACCATGCTTTGCAATATAAAGTCTTTGAATGCAAAAAGGACCATAATCTGCAAAGAAAATAGTAAATAAAATAAATTATATATATAATATTATTATACCACCACTCAATTCTGATGTTTTTACACACACACACACACACACACACACACAGACACACACACACAGATAGATAGATAGATAGATAGATAGATAGATGAACAATGGTCATCTTCAACTTGACTGACTCAATTTCCAGGCATTAGGAATGCCTTCTAAAACACCTGCAAGACCTCTCATGGTGGCCAGGTAGGCTATGTATTTATTTATTTAATTTTTTTGGTGGCTTTTCTTGGTGAATGTAGGCGGGGACCTCGGACTAGACCAGAATAGGATTTATTGAGCTATTTGAAACCTACCTTTATATTCTTAATCCTTTAATCCTTATCAGGGAACTATTTTCCATAAACCAATTGAGTAAATTCAGGTACAAACTGATTACAATCTTGTGCCATAGCATATGCCAAGACGTAATTTCTCCGTGTTTGGTGTTTGTGTTGGTGTTGCAATATAGATGCAACTGACATTGTGAAAGCTAGTGAAATTCTGGAAAATCCTGGACCTATAGTGTCAATCCAGATCCGCTATGCTGGCATTGTGAGAAACACAAACATGTCACCTTAATTTTTTAGAAATGCTGCTGAGCTCAGTATCCAAATTTACCAACAGTCTACGTTCCAGTGATATCTTCATTTCTAGGGGCAGGGATGGTATTTCATAATACTAGCAGAACAAATTAGACAATTTAATTTGCATTCAGTTCATATATGACAATCCTAAAATGATTTCTTAGTACACAGTCCGATCTAGAAGACTATAAAAACAGCTCCAGTCAAACAGCCAATGACCTTAAGTAACCTTTCTGTGATCTCACTTTCTGGAGGAAGGGTCAGCTGATATTACCACTTCAAGTAGTGCTTTTGCTGCAGTACACCTACTGGCACATACAGTCCACCACTGTCAGTTCCTCTGCTACTCAAATATTTCTGAAATTTTTAGTGGACGAGGCTGAGAAAATAATGGAAAGCATATTTCTAAAACCCCAGGAACACATGCTCTACACTTGCTACCGTTAATAAACTTATTATAAAATGTTGCCAATGTCATAATTCACCAGATGAAGTCGGTTTGGTTTCATTTTGGATACACTGGCTTCGATAACAAGTTCAGATGCTATTGTAAAAATAATTTTTCATGGTGTATGTCTTCTTTGGACAGTTATGCATTTTAGGCTGGCCTCAGCTACTTTTTTTCTGTTGTTTGTTCTGTTGGAAATTTGTTATATATCAAAAAGTTTTTTTTTAAGTTGCAGTTATTTATTAATTAAAAAACT